GTAGTGATCATAACAATGCAAATTATTATTATCCTTATATACGAAATTCTTAATAGGACGTTGGTTTTGTTCAAAAACATAACTACTATTAGAGTAGTAATATGGTTCGTAACAATGCAAATTAGCATAATGCGAATTGGCATAATGCAATTTTTTACGTTTTGGGCTATATTTGTATCCTGGAAAAGAACGTCCATGAACCTTCTTTGCGATTTCTGCTAGTTTATTATAAAAAAGTTTTATTTCATTAACATTAATGTTTTCCCATAACTTACAAGAAGGATTTCCATTCCATAGCTTGCAGGCGAGACGTGAAACATCACCGATCGTTAATTTTGAATCTTTAATAAAAGCATTTAAATCTTTCCGAAAAAGAACAAATCCATTTTGTGCTCTTGGTTGACGTTTCGAATTACTGCGATTGTAAATTAATTCTTTCATAGGAAGGAAAGTTTTTGAATTAAATTTTAGAAGTTCTTATATTTCACTTTTTGCGACATCAGTAAAATCAAAGTCAATTTTATTAGCCATTATCATGTAGTTTATTTTCAAATAAAATTTTATAATCTGAAAAAAAAGCAGATTTCAATTTTTCAGGTTTATGCTAATTTATTATCTTGTTAACAAACGTTTTGATGACTTCCTTAATTTATTCCTAAAATATTAAACCGATGCTGTGAAATATACATGAATAAACGATTTGGTAATTAAAAACAGTCATGATGTAACAGATAATTTGATCATTGATAAATAATAACGATAAATCCGAAAATATCAAACTTTGTTATTCTATTAATTCCTTAAATAAAAATAGCCGTGATTCGATGTAACGTAATTAAATCTTTTAGTTACCAGATTAAGGATCTATCTCAATTTAACCGTTGGATGGGTAAATATTACCCAGTATAATAAATTTTTAGAGAGTTCTTAAATAAGACCCTGGGTACTGTAAGATTATCAACGTTAGTTTTTTTTAATGTCAATGAAAATTGTGCAACTCAAGGAATTATTGTTTTTACAAAAAAATAAAAATTTCTTTGTTATTAGTAAGACTAAATCAAACTTATAAATCAATTTTTATTGAAAACCAATAAACTCAGTTAAACGTAACTCTATTTGCAATAAGAAAAAATTGGAATAGATGAATTTCACTGATTTTTGAAAAAAAAAACATTATATAAGATGACCCCTAATTTAAGACAAATCTTTGCGTTTAACAAAATGAATGAACATTTTAAAGAATCCTGTCACGTGTTTATGCTTAACGAAATTAATGACCTTAACGCTTCAATTTTAAATCGTTCTTATGAAATAAATGACCGTGACACTTTAATCTTAAAAAACGAGACCATCAAAGCGAGAAAATGAACACCAAGGCAAGACAAAGTTAATAGAGTTCCTAGACCTCCAAATGCTTTTATTCTATATAGAAAAGACAAACAATTTGACGTTATGACACAAAATAAAAATCTAACAAATGCTCAAGTATCCAAGGTTATCTCTCAAATGTGGAAAAATGAAAAAAAAGAAATAATACTTTATTGGGAAAAACTTGCTGACAGTATGAAGCTCAAACATATGCAAAAATATCCAAACTATGTATATAAGCCAAAAAAACGTACAAAAGACACTAGTAAAAATTCATCGAAAATGATTAGTGCAAAGACTTCATCGACTCTTCCGCCTCCTCGCGAAGAATCTATTATCAACCAAATTCCGTATCAAACTTATAGTAATGATATTTCTTATTTTAATGATATACCCACATATTTTAATGAATTATATTACACTTTAGAGTTACCGTTAAATAATTTAGATATGATCTACTACATGACATTCTAAGTAGTGTGTTTTGCATCTAATTGGATGATTCATCCACGTGACTTCGTTTTCTATATTTATACACAATAAATGTTTGTGTATCATATGTTTGGCGTGCAACTTGGCGTTGCATGTTCAAAGAAAACGTTATTCTATAACAATAATGTTAAGGTTTCTTTGTCTGATTCATCAATTTAAATATTAAAACTTACTATATATATGTTTTATTATTAGGTTTAATTACTTTTCTATTTTTAAAATTTACAGTTGTTTTATATAGATATAGCAAATTTTTCTTCTTATAATCCAACCTATAAGATTTTCTTTACTAAATGTTTTTTGGTATCTTTTTGAGTTCATATATGTGATCCATAAACTAATAGTTAATAAAATTGTACTTTAAAACTTTGGTTGTAGCTTTTGAATAAACTATAATAATTAGATTTAAATATAATTTAAATTTATACATATGCAAACGCATTTGCAAAAAGCATAAACACCATTAGATGAAAATAGAATAGATCAGATATTGTTGAAATTCATCATGTCATGTCTTAAAATTTTACGGCAATATAAAAAATATTTAGATCTTGTGAAACTATAAGGTTGATAGTTTGTTTAGTAAACAAAAAACTGCAATTAATAATTATTATTTTTAATACTTCTATTGTGATTTCTTTAAAGCAATGACTTCTCTACAAAATTAATGTTTAATAATCATATATACTACATTATATAGCAACCTCTAGCAGAATTCATATTTAGCAATTAATATCGTTATATTGGTAAATTTATGCTTACTAATTAAACTAATATAATGCTTATCAATATAAAATATTTTACAGAGGGGGGTTGTCCGGCCTGTAAATTACGAAAAAACATGTATTAGGGAATGGGATAAAAGATAAAAATTGGCGCTAATTGTGGGGTTGAAAAGAGAAGAATATTTGAGTAATTTTTATTATGCAAAGTTGCTAGACACGAGTTTGAAAATATTAGTTTAGCCGAATAGTTAATATCGTTAATATTTTAATATTATACATATGAAAATTAAATGATTTGAAATTTACATTCAAGAAATGCCAATTTAAATTTTTTATCATATACTTTTTTAAATCATTACGCATATTCTGCGTCATATTAATAGTGAGTAAGAATTGTAAAATATTGCTAATAAAAGCAGAAATGGATCAGCCCGGTCCAGTTCGTCCCGGTCTTTAATAAGACCAGTCTCGGTCTCAAAAATGGTGCTAGTAGAGAGTCAGTCTATAGTTGTTAGACAAAACCATGTGATGCTAAATGTCACATATCATTATTGAATAAAAATTAGATTAAATTTTTAGGTCTTGGTATTTTATGATAGGTGATAATTATCATCACATGGTTTCGTCTAACAACTGTATCAGTAGAGAGTGTTAAATTAGACGATGCGATGTCAGCAATTGAAATAAGCACATACTTTTTTTAATAATTTTAATTAGCTATTTTAACTATTGATGAAAACCGGTCCGGACTAGTTTCAAGACCGAGGACCGAATAGCCATAAGGCTGGTTAGGTTTTTTCAGAACTGATCCTACTACAAAGTATAATTCAAATAAAGTAGGTATATGGATAAGGTAAAAGATAAGTGAATGGTGAAAGATAAGGATTGTAAGGATTATAATTAAGGTACTCCGAATTAAATATGTTTAAATCTCCTGTTATGTTTCGTTGATAGAAAGCAAATATTGTGACATTAAGTTCCTAGTTAGCATAGTTTATAGCAAAATATG